TTCCTCCCACTAATACCAATGATGGGGCACTATTCCTCCCACTGATACCAATGATGGGGCACTATTCCTCCCACTGACACCAATGATGGGACACTATTCCTCCCACACTGACACCAATGATGGGGCACTATTCCTCCCACTGATACCAATGATGGGGCACTATTCCTCCCACTGATACCAATGATGGGGCACTATTCCTCCCACTGATACCAATGATGGGGCACTATTCCTCCCACTGATACCAATGATGGGGCACTATTCCTCCCACTGATACCAATGATGGGGCACTATTCCTCCCACTGATACCAACGATGTGGCACTATTCCTCCCACTGATACCAATGATGTGGCACTATTCCTCCCACTGACACCAATGATGTGGCACTATTCCTCCCACTGACACCAATGATGTGGCACTATTCCTCCCACTGCAAAATTACAGTTATGAAGTAGCAACGAAAATACTTTTATGGTTGGGGGTCACCACAACATGAGGAACTGTATTAAAGGGTCGCGGCATTAGGAAGGTTGAGAACCACTGCTTTAGGGGCTGATGATCACCTGCTGCTAAAGTAAAAGTAACTGTTTGTTAGGGCATGCTTGGCTTTATAGTACTTGAAGTTAAAGTGGAACTAAACCAATCAATTTATTGGTTTCCCAAAACAGTTACATTTGAGGCATACTGTGAATAATTGTCACAGTTGCTTGTGATCTGAACTGAATGGTTCGAGCCCTTAAACAGCCAGGACAATAAGTGATCACATGCGCAGCAAATTGGCAACTGCAGACCAGACAGAGGCTAAGATGGCAGCTTCCTTGGCTGTAAGGGATAGAAGGGTCTAGTTCTGCTTTAAGACAAGCAACTTCCTCACAGAGCTCAAAGTGGTCCAGTGCTGTCACATGAAACGAGTCACAAGCTGCTCCATACTCTGAACCAGGGCGGACTGACAACTCATGGGGCCCCCGGGCAATAGGGAATCATGGGGCCCCTGTGTCCTTGCCCAAAGTCAAAAAAGCCTATGAAAAAGGTACCAGGGGCATCTCATGGGGCCCTACTGACCCCGGGCCCTCGGGCAGTGCCCAAGTTTCCAAATGGTCAGTCCACCCATGCTCTGAACCACTGAGTATTCATTTTCAGCTCCCAATGTGGAATAGAATGGAGTGGAGGAGAAGCTGGGAAAAGGGGATTATCTTGTAGGGGTGGGGGATTAAAGTGATAGTCCAAAGCAGCAATACTGATCTCATGATCAATGTGTATTTACTATCTTTTGGAAGCCTGTAGAGCACTGCACCTGCACAGGCTCTTGTAAAGCTCTCCCCAGCCTCATGCCCATAAGGGAGGTATGGGGTTGCCATTATGGGGCTGGAGGAGGTACAAAAGGGTTAGGGAAAAGTGATCATTGGCACAGCTCTGCACAGTCCTTCGGCTACTGTACCAGACAGGACACAGACTAATACAATTTTTTGGTCCTCCAACCACATAGCCATGCTGAATTAAAAAGATTAAAGGTTCCACCAGAAGAAGCACCCTGCAACTGAACTATGGGGGGGTGGCGGGTAGAGTCAGTTTTGGGGATGCTGACCTTCAATATGGGTGTAAAATAAAGGTCCAAAACCTGGACTTAGCCCTTAAAGCAAACCTGTTGCTTTGCGTCACATACCCAGACGATAAATCAAGTCAATTAAAATGTAATTCGCCTTTACAGTTAAGTCACCCACAGTATGCTGAGAACTGTAGTTCATCGACAACAGCATAGCCACTGCTGTCTCCTAGTCAGGTTATCGCTGCCACAGTCATAAATACCATCTTAAAAGCCTGCAATAAAAAAAAAAAAATACTCCATCTTCTCCAAAAAATGACATTTGCTGCCGTTGTAAATTATCACTTTTGCAGCCGTCGCCCTATAATTTACAGCGTTCGGCATAAATTATACGCTGAGTTTTTGTTGCATAAAAAATGAAATGGCATCCTCTTTTTAAATAGTCCTATAAACCCTGCTAGCCATAAATTTAACCAGCTTTTAACTCTGCAGCACCAGTTCATTAACGTAACAAAAAAAAAAAAAAAAAAAAGGCGAGAAACATTCGAATTGTGATTATTAGTGGCAGTTTGGCTGCTGGAGACAGGAAACTTGCTCACAGCAAAAAGGTATGAATGGCGGTTTATCAGTCACAATAAGAATTTTCTGAACAATGCGCTATTACTTGCTCTGTTGTGTAGAAACAGCGCTGGCCTCAGTGGTCTACATAAAAAGTCACACTTTAGAATGTATGCATGTGTACACCTAGAATGTACACCTACCGAGCGACATATCAGACTGGATGTCGCTCCATTCCTTAAACTGAACCTCTCCAAAACCGAGTCTTCCCCCCAGCCCGGACACCACCCCCCATTGACTTCTCCATCACATCCAACAACGCCACCATCTAACCTGCCCCGCAGGCCAGAGTACTTGGTGTCATTCTGGACTCCAACCTATCCTTCCAGCCCCAAGTCCAATCTTTAACAAACTCATGCAGACTCCACCTCCGCAACATCGCCAAAATCCGCACGTTCCTAACCCCAGAAACCACTAAACAGCTCATCCACTCCCTCATCGTATCACGACTCGACTACTGCAACTCCCTCCTCACTGGCCTGCCTCGCCACAGGCTATCCCCGCTTCAGTCCATCCTGAATACGGCTGCCAGACTCATTCACCTTTCCAACCGCTCCATATCCGCCACCCCCCTCTGCCAATCCCTCCACTGGCTTCCGATTGCGCAACGTATCAAATTCAAAATCCTAACACTGACGTACAAAGCTGTCCACCATACTGCCCCGAACTACATCACTGACCTAATATCCAAGTACCGCCCAACACACACACTCCGCTCCTCACAAGACCTCCTTCTCTCTAGTTCCCTGGTCTCCTCCTCCCATGCCCGCCTCCAGGACTTCTCCAGGGTGTCACCCATCCTCTGGAAATCCCTGCCCCAACCCATCAGATTATCACCTACTCTCCTCTCCTTTAGGTGCACCCTGAAAACCCATCTCTTCAGGGAAGCCTACCCCACCCCCTGCTAACTTGCCGACCTCCTCCACTCTTCCTACCACTCCATCCCCCACAGCTATCTCCTCCTGTGCCACCATCCCCTCCCTCCTAGATTGTAAGCTCGAAAGAGCAGGGCCCTCAATCTCAACATGTTTTGCATTGTATTGGTATTGTTCTATCACATGTTCTGTCCCCCTTTGTAATGTACAGCGCTGAGCGAACTATTGGCGCTTTATAAATACTGTATAATAATAATAATAATAATAATAATGTGTGTATTGTGACTGACAGGGGTAATGATCTTTCCAAAGCTGTTAATATGGAACTGGCTAGGACTCTTATCTGCATGGAGTGTGCATTTTCTCCTTATGCTTGCACTGGTTTTCTCCCAGATTTCACAGATATGCTGGTAGGTTCCTAGACTCCTGTCTAAGCTGGCCCAATTATGTGTATGTATATCAGAAAGGTACCTTCGAACGCAAGCTCCTTGGGGGCAGGGATTGATGTGAATGTACAGTATGTAAAACGCTGCGTAAAATCGTCAGCGCTATATAAATACCCGTAATAAATATGGAAGGGAGGATTGAGTCAAGGTAGATTTACATATTTTAGTGATGATTACCTAATTATCACTAAAATATTTCAAGACGTCATTTGCAAATCAGTTCTCCAATCCATAACAGTTACCCCTCAAAGGCTAGCCATAGACGAGTCAGTTTTTCTCATTCAACCACCAAGTGGAACAAAAAAAAACTGACCTAATTACCCCATCCATACAGTGGAGGTGGATGGAGGAATCATCCCTGATGCGCTATTGTATTCTGACAGCGAGGATACTTTCCCACCATCTGAATACACTGATCAGCACTGCAGGCAATAACCTGCAGTGCTGATCAAGCGAACATTTTCCAACAGAATGGTTGTACAGAAGTCGATTGGCAGATCAACTTCTGTTCATTCACTGTAGCCACATATGGAACCGAAATTCGCCTGGTCCTTGCTGAACCAGTTGACCTTCGATCAGTGAATATGCATGTTGTCTACATACCATTATAAAAAGATCCATCATCTGCAAGAGCCTGCAAGCCATACAGTAAGTTGTAGCTGCTCCTTTTTTAAGATTAAAGAAGAACTCCTTCACTCTATTGGTTTGTTAATCCAGTGGGGAGATTGAAAACTGTGGCAGTTAGTGTCTCCACCCACTGCCAATTGTACACAATTAGGCACCATAATTGTCAACTTAATATAATGAAGACAGTGGTGACTGGACATAGATAACTCTGGCATGGGGGGATTTCACCACTGGAGTCCCCAAGAGATAGAAGAAAGAATGGCCACACACTGTGCGAATTTTGTCTGGTCATTCAAGAGTTCAGTGGGTGGCCTTGCTGGCCCCACTCCATTCACCTTTTCTCTGCTGGAAACGTCAGCTGTCAAAATACAATGGAAACAGCAGCATATTTGTTCATCTACAGATGTTTGGCCACATGCACTGTTCAAACACCAATTTTTTCACTATGTTGACTCCTCTCGAATGGGAACAGCCAAAAGATGGATCAAAAATCAGTCATTCACTGCTAAACCAGCTGAATTTTGATACATCATTGGCCAGCTTTAGAAATACTGCTGGAAAGCAATGCCATCATCTGACTAGTCAAGCTCTGACGTTGCCAAAGTCAAATTCACGTTGGATCTGGTGACGGAGTAGACGGCAAACGGATTTATCGACACCTGACATTATCAATGAGGGATCTGGAAGTCATTGGGCAGCCCCTGGGGAGGGGAACCAGCAATTTGGTGCTCTTGTGTCTTCTCCCGCTGAACAATAGAGGTGTAATGAGCGCAATGTATGAGCCAAACTCCCAGATTAGACACGTGCTCATTCTTCTTGCATTCATCAGTTTCCTGACACTTAGCCACAGAAAGTATAGTGGGTGAAAGCTCTCTACAATACTGCGGTGCTTACCTCCATCTCCTTCAGCACAGGGTGATCTTCAATGCCGGGGAAGAGGACACGCATGGCGTAGGTGCGATAGTCCAGGAAGGGGATGCCAGCTCCATCCAGGTCATTGGTCAGCTCGTGGATGTCAGTCTGCAGCTCAGCAAAGGCTACAAGAAGAGAGAAGGCATATTAAAGACAAGCTGCAAAAAAAAACAAACCATGGAGGACAATTGCCTGCTGAAAATGTTATTTGGTTGACTGTATCAGGCTCTGGCATGTGCAGAGTCCCGATGCACAAAAGGATGGGCTGATTTGAGTTGGTGGCTCTGAAAAGCACAGAAGCCAGAGATTAACATGATAGCTTTGAGAATATGAGATCAGCAATGCCAGCCAACACACCTATCCTAATAGGTTCCCTTGAAAGAAATACAGTCCGGCAGAACAACAATGTTCCCATATATTGCCTTTCATGAGTTATAAGGCAACAGTCTCACTGTTGAATAACAGTGCAGGTTTACTACTCAGAGATTAATTTACTTTTGATTATTAATTGTATTCTCTCCCTGTCAAAGCAGAAGTGTCAGGCTGTAAGGCAACCTGATCAGTTGCTGGAGCTCAGTGCTGATAACGCACTCACAAAATTGTCTTATTGCACTGTAGGGTGTGGTGGAACTAGTATACAGCACCATATCTATATCCTGGGGGCATCATCCCATATAAACATCCAATAGAAGAAAACCTTTATATATGGGGCTTTAATTAAGCCAACCGGTCGATATCATTAAAGTCTTTATATATATATATATATATATATATATATATATATAATATATTAAAGTCCTCTGTTGGACAATCAAAAACTGTCCTGATAAAGATGCTGCCAAAATGACATAAAACCATTTTAGTTGTAAGCTCTTACAGACAGGGCCCTCCTAACCCTGTTGATTTGTATTGTAACTGCACTCTGTCTTGTTTTTTTGTATGTCGTTGAGCAAAATATAATCCTGTTGGCGCTATATAATCCTGTTGTACTATCCTCCAGCAGCTCAGACAGTTATGAGTCCTGAGCTCAGGCAGGAGACAGGTCAGCCTCTACAGGGTCCTTACAGATGGACATTTATAACCTGTTAGGGAGAGAATACAACTATATAACATGAATCCCTGCTTGCAGGCAATTATGAGTCCTGAGCTCAGGCAGGAGACAGGTCAGCCTCTACAGGGTCCTTACAGATGGACATTTATATTCCGTTAGGGAGAGAATACAACTACATAACAGGAATCCCTGCTTGCAGGCAGTTATGAGTCCTGAGCTCAGGCAGGAGACAGGTTAGCCTCTACAGGGTCCTTACAGGTGGACATTTATATTCCGTTAGGGAGAGAATACAACTATTTAACAGGAATCCCTGCTTGCAGGCAGTTATGAAGTCAGCCTCTACAGGGTCCTTACAGATGGACATTTATATTCCGTTAGGGAGAGAATACAACTATTTAACAGGAATCCCTGCTTGCAGGCAGTTATGAGTCCTGAGCTCAGGCAGGAGACAGGTCAGCCTCTACAGGGTCCTTATAGATGGACATTTATATTCCGTTAGGGAGAGAATACAACTATTTAACAGGAATCCCTGCTTGCAGGCAGTTATGAGTCCTGAGCTCAGGCAGGAGACAGGTCAGCCTCTACAGGGTCCTTACAGATGGACATTTATATTCCGTTAGGGAGAGAATACAACTAGACAACACACACAGCCTACCCTAATAAATAAGGTAAAAATTTGTTGAATATTTGAATTGTACTGTCTTCCTTTAGTTTGTATAGCATTGTGCAAACTTGTTGGCGCTATAGAATTCTATTTTTCTCTCCTCCAGCAGCTCAGACAGTTATGAGTGCTGAGTTCGGGCAGGAGATAGGTCAGCCTCTACAGGGTCCTTACAGATGGACATTTATATTCCATCAGGGAGAGAATACAACAAAATAACAACAGGATTCACTCTTCCGTTATGAGTCCTGATGTGCTGCCATGCAGCTTTACTGTTTAGCTGTTGTTATTTACATGTTATGTTATAATGTTATTTGGTATCATCCACACACCCCTGCTGTTTCTGACTAGTTGGTTGCTTCCACCTTCATTTCCTGGTGTAACCCCATTTTAGTTTAGTGGTTATCAAGATGCTGTAGAGTGAGGAGGCTATGTACATCACTGGAAATTTACCTATGAAAACACCTTTTATGTTCATACCTTTGCTACCTTGAAGCATAAAGAAGCATTGGAAAATACCTCTGAAGTTGTTATTCATTGAGTAAACTATCTGTTAAGGCGATCATTCAACTTGCTGCACACATTCTGACAGACCGGGTCTAAACGAATCTCGCCACAAGTACAACCGATGCCAAGACAGAACACCTGAGCTCAGACTGGAGACAGGTCAGCCTTCACAGGGTCCTTACAGACGGACATTTATATTCCATCAGGGAGTGAATAAAACTACATAACAGGAATCACTGTTTGCAGGCAGTTACAGTTGTGACCAAAATTATTCAACCCCCAATGCTGTAAAGGGGTTTAGGGACATAGTGTACATTTGGAATTGTATTCAGAATCAAATCCTACAAGGACGTTGTAACTACCCAAATGCAACTAAAATGACATCAATTGTTTATGTAATACAGTAGTAAATGGTTCTTATGTGGTTTCTTCATTGCCACAATTATTCAACCCCTTAAAGACTACCACTCTGAAGAACAGAGGTTCATACAGGTGCTTTCCATCAGGTATTGAAAACACCTGTGGATGTCACCGAGCAGCAATCAAGCATAATAAGCACCAATTAGGCAGCTTTAAAATGACTGTGATACTCAGCTCCTTCTAGACATTTACTGGTGTGGTTACAAACATGGTGAAGGCAAGAGAATGGTCCAGGAAGACAAGAGAAGAGGTGATTTCTCTTCACAGGAAGGGCAATGGCTATAAGAAGATTGCAAAGATGTTAAACATACCAAGAGACACCTTAGGAAGCATCATTCGCAAATTCAAGGCAAAGGGCACTGTTGAAACGCTACCTGGTCGTGGCAGAAAGAAGATGCTGACTTCGACTGCTGTGCGCTACCTGAAGCGTAGAGTGGAGAGAAGTCCCCGTGTGACTGCTGAGGAACTGAGAAAAGATTTGTCAGATGTGGGTACAGAAGTTTCAGCCCAGACAATAAGACGCACACTGCGTAATGAAGGCCTCCGTGCCAGAACTCCCAGGCGTACCCCCTTGCTGTCTCCAAAGAATAAGAAGAGTCGACTGCAGTATGCCAAAAGCCATGTGGACAAACCACAAAAGTTGTGGGATAGTGTTCTGTGGACTGATGAAACAAAATTAGAACTGTTTGGGCCCATGGATCAACGCTATGTTTGGAGGAGGAAGAACAAGGCCTATGATGAAAAGAACACCTTGCCTACTGTGAAGCATGGTGGAGGGTCAATCATGCTTTGGGGCTGTTTTGCTTCTGCAGGTACAGGGAAGCTTCAGCGTGTGCAAGGTACCATGAATTCTCTTCAGTACCAGGAGATATTGGATGGAAACGTGATGCAGTCCGTCACACACCTGAGGCTTGGGAGACGTTGGACCTTTCAACAGGACAATGATCCCAAGCATACCTCCAAGTCCACTAGAGCATGGTTGCAGAGGAAAGGCTGGAACATTTTGGAGTGGCCATCGCAGTCACCAGACTTAAATCCGATTGAGAACCTCTGGTGGGACTTAAAGAAAGCAGTTGCAGTGCGCAAGCCTAAGAATGTGACTGAACTGGAGGCCTTTGCCCATGAAGAATGGGCGAAGATACCCGTAGATCGCTGCAAGACACTTGTGTCAAGCTATGCTTCACGTTTAAAAGCTGTTATAACTGTAAAAGGATTGCTGTACTAAGTACTAAGATTGAATGTCACTTGGGGGTTGAATAAAACTGATAATGCTGTGAGCACAGAAAAGACATTTGTGGTTATTTCATTATAACTGTTATGTTATATTTGTCTGACCTACAAGTGCCTCTTTAATGTAAATGTAAGCAAGATGACTGAATGATCAAAAGCAATGTCAAACTGGCCAAAACACTCAATTTCAGTGGGGGTTGAATAATTTTGGTCACAACTGTATGAGTCCTCAGCTGAGGCAGGAGAAAGGCCAGCTTCCACAGGGTCCTTACGGATGGATATTTATATTCCATCAGGGAGAGAATATAACTAAACAACAACACACACAGCCCACCCTAAGAAATAAGGTAACAATTTGTTGAATATCTGAATAATTGTATCAAGAACTGTACGGTTTTCCTTCAGTTTGTATAGTGCATATAGCGGAATGCAAAATTTTGAGAATGACACAAAAATTAATTTTCACAAAGTCTGCTGCTTCAGTGTATTTAGATCTTTTTCTCAGATGTTACTATGGTATACTGAAGTATAATTACAAGCATTTCATAAGTGTCAAAGGCTTTTATTGACAATTACATGAAGTTTATGCAAAGGGTCAATATTTGCAGTGTTGACCCTTCTTTATCAAAACCTCTGCAATTCGCCCTGGCATGCTGTCAATAAACTTCTGGGTCACATCCTGACTGATTGCAGCCCATTCTTGCAGAATCAAGGCTTGGAGTTTGTCGGAATTTGTGGGGGGTTTTTGTTCACCTGCCTTTTAAGGATTGATCACAAGTTCTCAATGGGATGAAGGTCTGGGGAGTTTCCTGGCCATGGTCCCAAAATTTGAGCTTTTGTTCCCCAAGCCACTTAGTTATCACTTTTGCCTTATGGCAAGGTGCTCCATCCTGCAGGAAAAGGCATTTTTCATCACCAAACTGTTCTTGGATGGTTGGGAGAAGTTGCTCTCAGAGGATGTTTTTGTACCATTCTTTATTCAAGGCTGCATTCTTAGGCAAAATTGTGAGTGAGCCCACACGAGAAGCAACCCCACATGAATGGTCTCAGGATGCTTTACTGTTGGTATGACACAGGACTGATGGTAGAACTCACCTTTCCTTCTCTGGACAAAGTTTTTTCCAGATGCCCCAAACAATCAAATAGGGGATTCATGAGAGAAAATTGCTTCACCCCAGTCCTCAGCAGTCCAATCCCTGTACCTTTTGCAGACTATCAGTCTGTCCCTGATGATTTTCCTGGAGAGAAGTGGCTTC